AGCACCTGAAACATGCATCCTGCCCCTCCTGCCAGCAGCACAGCACCCTCGGGCACCCATCCTGCCCCTTCTGCTCTCAGAGCTCCTTTGGGATGTGCTGTGGGGCTGCACCCCGGGAGCAGGTTGGTACCCCTGGGCCGAGCCTGTGCCGATATTGGCACTGGCAGTGGGTGACATCCGTGTCCCTGCAGGCGCTCGTCCAAGTACAACCTCTGCAGTGACAACCATGGGATAAAGCCGCCGACGCCGGAGCAGTACCTGACCCCCCTGCAGCAGAAGGAGGTCTGCATCCGGCACCTGAAGGCTCGCCTGAAGGACACACAGGAGCGGCTGCAGGACAGGTGAGCACGGGAGCAGCAGGCACTGACTCCCTGGCACGGGAACTGCCAGGAAGGGTCCTGGCACCAGCCATCACCGCCTGCTCCTGTCTGGGACTGGTTCTTCTGGGGGTCTCAGTTCCCAGCACAGCATCTTGTCCTCGGGCTCGTGCCCAGGTACTGAGGTCACAGCTCTACTGTGGCATGGCAGGGGTCTGGCACTGCTGCCCATCCAACCCAGAGCCGCAGATTAGGGGGCCCCGGAGCCCCACATCCCACCTGTGGTGGCTGCGCTCTCCCCTCACCCTGGTTAAGTCCCTGCCGTGCTTTTGCTGAATTTCAGCGTCAGAGGGTGGCTAATCCCCATCTGCTCCTCTCGAGCTTAGGCATGTCCTCATTGGAATGCCAGCTGCCACACGCCTGCCCAGGGCACCTGCCCACCCCCACGCAGCCCTTGGGAGCCCTGGGCACTGCAGACCCTCCGGGAGAAGGCTGAGTGTCACTTCCAGGGATCCTTGAGCATCACTCCCAGAGCATCCCTGAGCATCAATCCTGACAGCCCCTGAGTATCGCTCCTGAGGGTCCCTGATCATCACTCTTAGGAGTCCCTCAGCATCACTCCCAAGGGTCCCTGAGCATCACTCTGAGGGCTCCCTGAACATTGCTCCTGAGGTTCCCTGAGCATCCCTCCTCAGGGTCCCCGAGTGTCACCCCCTGGGGTCCTGAGCATTGCTCCTGAGGGTCCTCAAGCCACTGGATCCAGTCACGAGTGTTACTGGGTGATCTGGTTCCAACTCAGTGCTGGGCACACGAGGGCAGGGCTGTCCCCGCAGCCCCCTCAGCGCCGTGGCGGTGCCCTCCCATCTCCGCAGGGATGCTGAGATCGAGGACCTGAAGACGCAGCTGTCACGGATGCAGGAGGACTGGATCGAGGAGGAGTGCCACCGCGTGGAGGCCCAGCTGGCACTGAAGGAGGCCCGCAAGGAGATAAAGCAGCTGAAGCAGGTCATCGACACAGTGAAGAACAACCTGCTGGAGAAGGACAAGGGCCTCCAGAAGTATTTTGTGGACATCAACATCCAGAACAAGAAGCTGGAGACGCTGCTGCACAGCATGGAGGTGGCGCAGAACGGGGCGCTGAAGGAGGAGGGGGCCGGCGAGTCGGCCGGGGGGTCCCCAGCCCGATCCCTCACCCGCAGCTCCACCTACACCAAGCTGAGCGACCAGGGGGCCGGGGACCGCAACGTGGGGGGCTCACAGACCATCTCGCTGGACGAGGGGGCCGACAGTGGCTTCGTGGGGATGGAGGAGGCTCCGGGCCACACGGACCCGCTGGAGGTGGGGGGTGAGCCTGGCGCCCGCCTGCCCCCCAACAACACCTACGAGAAGGTGCTGGGACTGCGGGGCAGCGTGGAGGCAGGGGTGCAGGCCAGCTGCATGCAGGAGCGGGCCATCCAGACGGACTTTGTGCCCTGCCAGCCCGACCTGGACACCATCCTGGAGAAGGTGATGAAGTCCCAGGCTTGCAGCTTGGGCAGCCCCACCTCCGCCTGGGTCTCCGAAATGGAAGACACGATGCCCGTCCCTGAGCTCGCCAACCCCGCTGGGGCCACGGACATGCTGGTGGCCGAGCCCAATGCCACGATGGTGGGTACCGGTGCTGAGGGAAGTGCCCCCTGCAACCCGGCGGTGCGGCAGCCCCCCAGCGCCAGCCCCTCGGTGGCCATCGCCTGCGTGGCGGAGGACGAGCTGACGGAGGCGACCGGCTGCGAGAACAACCCTTCCAAGAGCTACTGGAGCCGCCACTTCATCGTGGATCTGCTGGCAGTGGTGGTGCCGGCGGTGCCCACAGTGGCCTGGCTGTGCCGCTCGCAGCGGCGGCAGGGCCAGCCCATCTACAACATCAGCTCCCTGCTGCGGGGCTGCTGCACCGTCGCCCTCCACTCCATCCGCAGGATGGGCTGTCGCCCCGTCGCCAGCCCTGGCCCTGGGGGCAGCGCCCAGCCCTGACCTCCCCCGAGGCCCCCCACCCGCCCCCATGGACCCGACTGCTGATTGTAAAACCCTGGTGTGGCACTGGCGGGTGGGAAGGGATGGAGGGGTCTGTGGGTCCGTCGGGGTGTGCTGCCCCCTCCAGCTCCTCTGTCCTGGAGGAGGGAAAGGACTGTTGTTGGAAGAGGGGCACTAAGCGTCCCCCCCGCTGATGGACATCCCTGCCCTTGCCTCTGGCTGCGGGGGGCTGCACCCACCGGGTGGGCTCTCCCTCCATCACACTTGCTTTTTGGTTGTCTCCAGGTTGTCCCGAGGGTCAGCCCTGCCACGGGTGGGTGATGGCAAGCAGCTTCTGGCAGCGGGGAGCACTGGGGGTGCAGTGGTCCCTTGTTCCAGGTGCAGAGTCTGTCTGTGGGCAGTGGGATGGGGGGATCCTGCCCGGAAACAGGAACCAGCTCCGGAGCGGTTTGATCCAGCTGCCCATTCCCTGGGAGATGCCTCCCCACACCGGGGTGGAACTGTGCTGCTGCTCACACACGGAGTGCCCCAAGGAAGCCGTGGGCTCTCCCTCCCTTTGCTTTGCACTATATTCACTTTTTTTTCAGTACAGACTGAAGCCCGGGTGTTGGGACTCTGGCCGCCAGGCAGCGGGTCCGGGGCCTCTCGCAGTTTTGGCAGCGGTGATGCCGGTTATCCCACCATGTGCTGGAGCTCGGATGCCTTTGCCGGGGTGCGGGCAGTGCCGTGCAGGCAGAGCCAAGCCCTTTGCCCCTCCGGCCCACCCAAATCCCTGCTTTGCTGGTGGCCTCCAGAAAAATGCCTTTTTTTTTTGTTGTTGAGACGCAAAGACAGCAAGGATTGCTCAGCGGGGCTGTTGGGGCGCGGGACTTCAGGCTCCCCCCGGGCGCGCCGCGCTCCCACCCCACGAATGTCTGTGGTTTCTTCGTGACTTGAACTAACAGTGTTTCCCCCCACCCCAACCCAAGCCCACTCCCCTACCCATGGGTGCCACTGGCCGGGTGCCCTGGGAGCTGGTGATGCTCCACACACCAGCACCCAGCGGTCCCTACAGGGGCACGAGCCACATCCTGCGTGCCCCACGCTTCCCTGCATCCCCCATCCGCCGGCTCTACCTGTGCTAGGGGGCTGTGGGGGGCAGCAGCTCTTCCACTGGCACAGCACCAGGTGCCGGGGAAAAGATCTGGGGAGCAGCAGTGTCCAGGCAGCCGGGGCAGATGTGAGCGGAGCTGGGATATTCGCCTCTCGTGCAATGTATTTGTGGATCTGTGTACACGTCTGTTAGACTATCCAAAGCTTTGCCAAGAAATAAATGTAACGATTATATTTGAAAGACAAATCTATATAATATATTTTTTAAATACAGAACTGAAAAAGCTGTAAACCCCCCTTTTCTTGTTTCCCCTGTCCTGTACTCGCTCTCTGTGGTGGATGTAATAAACGTCGCTGGGTCTGTGTCTGCTTTGGCTGGAGCCAGCCCTTGGCATCCACCCTGAGGGGGGCTGGCCTGAGCAGGGACACGGGGACATGGGGACCCTGGGACATGACACCTGCCCCACCCCTTCTGAGGAGAGGAAGAACCACCCAGCAGCCACCAGCCTCTGGAGCGATGAGGAGATTCACGCTAAAAAAGCTTCTTTTCAGGTGTTGTGGTGTCCCCTCAGCAGCTCCTCCCACCTTCCAGCGTCAGCTCCCCGGGAAGGCAGTGATGGCATCACAGGTCAGGGATGGAGTGGTCCATGGACGACTTCACCAGCCCTGATGAGAGCCTGGGCAGAGGGACAGAGGGAGAGGAGATCAGTGAGGGGAGCCCAGGGGGCCTGGTGGGGTGTGGGGGTCCCTGCGGCCCCACATTCTCACCGTTTGACCATGTGCTCATAGATCACAGTGGGGATGATGGTCAGCGTCACCGCATTCCCAGCCCCCGCCAGCACCTCCGTGAGCTGTTTGTCCTGTGGGAGAGAGCAGGGAGGGGTTGTGGGGTGCCCAGCTTTGCTCGGAACCCCTGCAGCTTCTCTGGCCACATCCTGAACTCCCTGGGCACATCCTGTGCCACCAGCAGGGCACAGCCCTACCTTCATGCCGATGACGTTCTGGCCGTTCACCTCACAGATGCAGTGGTGGGTGAGGAGCCCGTTGCGGGCGGCTGAGCTGTCCTTGGCCAGCGACACGATCTTCCCCTTCTTCACCACGATGCCGATGTGGCCGGTGCTGTCCTTGTGCACGGTGACAGTGCGCTGGAAAGGCCTGTGGGAGAGCACAGTCAGTGCTGCCACTGCCACTGGCGCTGCCACCACCGGCGCTGCCACCACCGGCGCTGCCACCACCAGCACTGCCACCTGCTCACCTGTCCCGCACTACCATGACGATTTTTTCGGGGTTTGCCTTCTTCAGTGCCCGCTGTGCCTTGTCGCTGCTCCAGCCCGCGCAGTTCTTGCCGTCGATCTGCAGCACCTGGTCCCCGAAGCGCAGCCCCACCAGCGCCGCCGGGGAGTTGGCCTTCACCAGCTGCACGAAGATGCCCTGGGGACACAGAGGAGCGGTGGCACAGTGCCATGGTATGCCGTGCCATGCCCTCTGCACCCTGCTGCGCTGTGCCGTGGCACACTGTGGCATTTAATGCCACGCATTGCCTTGCCATGAGACACCGTGCCGTGATACACTGTCACAATTATGCCATGAGTGCACCACGTCACGTCGTGCTGCACTGTCCTGTGCCGTGCCCAGCCCCGTGCCAGCCTAGCTCCTCACCTGGTCGACGTTCTTCAGCTGCAGCCCCGTCTTGCCCCGCTCGTCCTTGCACAGGTGGATCTCCCGCACACCCGGCTTGATCTCTGCCCGCCGCAGCCCCACGCTGTTCCCGGTCAGGGGGGCGACCAGCTGGCCCGGGGTGGGGCCCACGGGGGTCAGGGCCTGTGGCAGAGCCAGGGGTCAGTGGGAATGGGGGGGACACGGGGCCCTGTGCACCTCAGCCCTTGGGGGGTGCTGCATGCCTTCCCTGGGCAGGATGCGGACCCAAAAGGACCCCCACCATGGCATGGGGACAGGGTGAGCTGCCGTCCCAGACACCTACGGTGTTGTCCTCTGGGTGCAGGTTCTTCTGGATCTCCTCGCTGGAGAGTGCAAGCCCCATGTAGTTCTCCAGCTCAGCCAGGTTGGGGTACAGCACAGGCGGCTCTGCGGGACACACTGAGGGTGACCTCAGCTCCTGGGGTCCCCTACCCACAGCCATTGCCACCCTCCAGCCCATGAGCCCCTTGGGACCATGGGCCAGCAGAAAGAAACCCGCAAATTCCATCCCCCACCCACGTACTGAGTTTTGGGGGATCTCAGCTGAGTCCCCCACATGGTGAGCATCACCCCCCCAGACAGCCCCTGGACAGGGTGAGCTGGTTGTGCCCCATGTTACCGGTGCCCGAGGTGAGCTTTGGCTTCTCCGTGACCACCGTGGTGGAGGGGGTCCTCACCCCAGCAGCTGCCTGTGCCTGCCAAGAGATGGGGTCTGCTCAGTGCTGTGCCCCCCACCCTGTGCACCCTCCATTGGGGTCTGCTCACCCACTGGAGTGCTGCTGTGCTGGCACTGACCTGCAGGACCTGATGGCCCTTCATGTCCTCCAGGGAGGGGTAGAGCGTTGCCATCGCTGCTGCTGCCTGGGGACAGGGACAGGGCAGTTCAGGGACTGGGGTACCTCTCCCCAGGCATCCCCCTCCCAGCCCAGGTGTCCCAGACGGGCTGTCACCCAGAGCCTCTGGCGTGACTCAAGGCTGTGTCACCAGGGCCACCACCTCCGCCACTTCCTGGTGGCTGGGACATGGGTGGCTGCCAGGCACAGGCACCTGGGCTTTGCTGTCCTGGTGGCAGGTCCCACTCCCCATGTCCGCCTGTCCAGCAGGGCCATCCCAGCATCATTCAGACAGGGGAGTGGGATATCCCATGGGAACAAACCCTGTGCCTCCCATCAGCCCCTCTGCTCCCCATGTCCACCTGCCCTGAGGGGCCAGCCAGGCATCATCCAGACAAGGGAGAGGGATATCCCATGGGAACAGCCTCTCTGCCCCCCATCAGCCCCCTCTGTCCCCATTGCACCTCATACTGTGCCCAGGGCAAGGTTGCGCTCCCCCAGCTCTGCCCCACAGCGTTGCCTTCCCCAAAAAGTATCATCCAAAACTGGTGGGTAGAGGCCAAATCCAGACCCAGCTCTGAGCCCTGCGGGAACCAGGCAGGATCCCACCCACAGCTCAGGGATGGCAGCAGCATCCAACGGACAAGACTGTCCAAGCCCAACCCTGGCACCCCTGCACTCACCTGCCAACAGCTCCCAGATCCTTGTGACACCCTTTGCTTGGCTGCTGAATTTTATAGCCTTGCCCAGCCCAGGGAGGGGCCAAGCAGCCTCAGCTGATTGCAGCCCTGACAGATAGGGCATAGGTGAGGAAGAGGAAGTGGAAGGTGAAGGCAACACTGTGCAGGGCCCTGGGGACAGGGATTCGATGAGGACAGGGATGGCTTTCTGTGGGTTTCGGCATCCTGGAGGAGCAGGGATGGGCCTGTAGCACCCCCCACTGCATCACCCCTCCTGTCAGCCCCAGCATGTGGCTTGGCCCCCCTAAGTGGGGGCCCCCCACCACACCCCATCCTGGGCTCCAGGGGCGGGGGATGAAGGGGATGCCCCACTGTGAACCCCTGCGTGGGCGGTGGCTCCTGCTGACACCTCACTGCCCAGGCACGTGGGGCTGACACAGCTGTGACCGGGATGCCATGTCCTGCACCATTCCAGCTGTCACCTGGGACACGTGCCAGGCGTGACAGCCCCGTGGGAGTCCCACACCACAGGTGGAAAAACTGAACCAGCGCGGAGTTCAGCGCGGGGTGGATGTGGCATCCCACTGCCATGGGATATCACTGTGTCACTCTGGGATCCAGCCCTCCAGCACTCACCTGTGACATCCTGCTGCCCGCACCAGGGACCACACAGGACACCGTGTCCTCATGGGCTGGGCAGTGTGGTGCTGAGGGTGCTCAGCCGGGCCCACAGCCGGTGGCACCAGCCCAGAGCTCTCTGGCTTGGGGCCAGTCCTGCTGTGCAGCCATGGCCAGGCACGTCCCAGCTCCCTGTGCCTCCACTCCTGCGTGCCAGACCAGGAGGAAGCATTTTATTTACTGGTGTTATTTTTAGCTGGATGGTCCCTGGCTGCTGTGGCCAGCCCGGGACAAGAACAGGCCCAGCGGCAGGGAGAGTCCTATACAGACAGATGGTTCCTAGGAGTCTGTCCCTTCCCCAAAATCCTCATCCCCCCTAAAACCAGACCTGGAAGAACCTGTACCCCACCTGCACTTATGGGTGCTGCAGGAGCTATGGAGGGGCTGCGGGCCTGAGGTCAGCAAGGTCCCCCAAGCCTTTCCCCAGCCCTGGCTTATCTCCAGCCAGAAGCCATGGCACTGCCTGGCACTGGTTAATAATTAAAGCAAAAAGCTTTGCAGGAAGAGAAACCCAACCTTGCCTTGAGCTTCCACCCAGAAACAGCCACAGCCAAGGGCAGAGTGGGCTGCTGGGGCCCCAGCAGCTCCCATTCTGCCTCACTGAGCAGCAATTAAGGGCAGTGCTAATTCCCACACAGCCTGGCCCCAAATCCTACACAGCCCCGTATTCCTGGATGCATCCCAGTGGCCGAGCTGCTCCTGCCCCAGGGCCACAGTTCCCTCCGGGCCCTGTTGTCACACACAAACTTTGCTCTGGAGCTGGGACTGGCTGTGTTATTGATCGTGGCTGTGTTATCAGTCGTGGCACTGGATCAAAGGCCGGGCGCTGGCCTGTGCTGGTGCCCGAGCAGCTCCTACACACACAACATCCACAGCTGGAGCAGCCAAGCCCAAAGCGGGGGATGTGCCGTGTCCCACGTGCCATGTCCGGCTTCCAAAAAGGGCCAAGATAAATCCAGGGAGATGTATGGACAGGCTTTCCCAGAGCTACAGGGACCCTGGGAACATGCATCAGTCTGCCCTTCATGCTCCCAGTCTGGGGTGAATCACAGCTGCAAGGGCACGAGACTGTGAGGGCAACGCTTAATAAGTTATGGTGAGGCAATTAATTATGCAAATTCCAGCAGGCCACCATCAGCTCCCCACAGAGCCCAGGAGCCCCAGGCATTCCACTGCACTCCCAGAGCTGAGCACCTGAGCCTTGCACCAAGGCAGGCCAGCACAGCACCACAACCCTGGCACAGCACCCACAGCACCCCATGAACCTGGCACAGCACCCTGGGAGCACAGAGCAGCACCCACAGCGCCCTGTGAGGCAGGAACAGCACCCACAGCACCCCACACAGCACCCACAGCACCCCATGAGCCGGGCACAGCACCCACAGCACCCCACAAGCCCAGCCCAGCCCCTGCTGTGCTGAGCGACAGACGGGCAAGGGAAAAACCTCCAGGACACAGGGCTGAGAAAAGCCAGCATAAAGCATTTTTATTGCAATAATAAACTGGATACCTTTGTGCGGCGGAGAAGGAAGTGACCGGCAGGAATTTCTGTTATCAATGGACTGGGCAGAGCAGAGGAGGGGGCACGGGGGGGGCAGCAATGTGTCCTGTGAGACCAGGCAAGCGGCGATGACCAGCATCAGGTGGCAGGAGAGAACGGGCAGGTGTGCTCAGAGCGGGGACAGCAGGGGCTGATGGTTCCTTTCCCGGGGGAGGGAGGGAGGACAGGGGTGTTTTTGTTGAGTTGAGCCTCCATCACCTCCCCTGCTAACAGCACCTTCCCTTTGTCCACTGTTTTCCTTTCTCTTTAAAGAATGCTCCATGCCGTGGGATTTTCAGGGTGCGGTGGAGCTCTGATGGAAACCCAACTCCCTAAATTCGAAAGTGGGTTGGGGGGAAGGCAGGCTCACTCGGTGGCAGGGTGAAGCAGGGGCAGAGCAGCCCTCCTTCCCCGATGCTGCTCCCTGCATGGAGAACAGGGAAAGGCCAGGCTGCTCCCTTGCTGTCCCATTCCAGGCAGAATTCCTATGAACAATCCTAGTGCTACCTTGCTCTCTGCATCCCTTTAGCCTCAACAGGCTCACTCTGCTATGGCTTTTGCAGCAGCAGCAATTTCTGGTTTAGAAACACCATAAATCTGCACCAAAACAAGTAACTAACAGGATTCCTTTTGTTCAAATTACTCCTATCTAAGGTCAGCCCATCTGCGTGCTACTGGGAAAACGCAGTCTACACCTGGAACAAAAATAAGATTAAGAACTTGACCCAAAAAGAGTTGAGGTTTACGGCGTATAGGTTAAAAAGACATAAAAACACGATACGAGGAGGAAGAGTCAGACGCAAAGCTTAGTGACCAAAGGCATTCAATCAAGGTGTAAGGTTATACAATGAGTGTAGTGGACTATCAGGAAAAGCTCCGTACAAAGTCATGTGCACTCTTCTTGAAGCTGAGATTCTGGATTCCTCCATGTGCCAAACCTGCGAGGAGAGAGGAGAGGCAGCGTGACAGAGCCGCCCACCCGCCGAGGGAGCGTGCTCAGGGCATGGCAGCCTCAGCACAAACCACACCCGGCCTTCCAAGCAGAAGTCAGGCCCCAATTACAGAGGGAGCACAGCCCTATCCTGCCCCCACCATTGGGAACCTGCACCCCTGAGCACAGCTCCAAAGAATCACAGAACGGTCTCAGTTGGAAGGGATGTCAAAGCTCATCACATTCCAACCCTTTACCATGGGCAGGGACACCTTCCATTAGATCAGGTGGCTCCAAGCCCTGCCCAACCCGGTCTTGAACACTTGCAAGGATGAGGCAGCCACAGCTTCTCTGGGCAACCTGTGCCAGGGCCTCACCACCCTCACAAGGAAGAATTTCTTCTTAATATCCAGTCTAACCCCATCCTCTGTCAGTGTGAAGCCATTCCCCCTTGTCCTGTCATTCTAGGCCCTTGTCCAAAGTCCCTCTCCAGCTTTCTTGAAGCCCCTTTAGTTACTGGAAGGAGCTCTAAGGTCTCCTCAGAACCCTCTCTTCTCCAGGCTGAACAACCCCAGCTTTCCCAGCCTGTCTCCATAGCAGAGGTGCTCCAGCTCTTGGGACATAATGAAAGCCTCCTGTCCACACCATCAGCCTCAAGCACCACCAACATGAGAGGCAGGAGGGGGAGCAGCAGCCAAGCCCCGCGGTGCAGCACCACAACACATGGAACCTGAGGCACAGACAACGAGCACCACAACACATCCGTGGCACAAACCCGCCCTGCCAGGCTGGAAGCTTCGCTTTTACCACCGCAGTGATCTGATCCCCAGCTCACAAAGACTCCCAAGAGCAACTTCTACCCACAGCCAGAAACCTGCCCCTTCCTTCTCATACCCCCCCACTGCCACCCACTCCTCCTGCCACTCACCCCCATCCCACCTCCCCACACTGTTCCAAGACCAAAGACAGGGGCCTTAAGCTGTCCCCAGTCCACACACTCCCTGCCAGCAGCTGCCCCTCCTTACCCGAGGACAGGGTGCTGGGGTGGGTCATTCCAATTTCATGAGCTCCACGTCAAAAATTAGAGTGGCGTTTGGCGGGATGATCCCTGGGTGGCCAGTGGAGCCATAGGCATAATCTGGGGAGATGGTCATCTTTGCCCGCTGACCAACGCTCATCTGGGGCAGGGACAGAAACAGGAGGATGTCAGGAGATGGGCACAACTGCCAGGTGAGTGACAGAGCAGAGACAGACCTGTCCCCGCTGCTTTCCCTACATTGGGCAAGAGCAAGGCCCCAGGCTGAGCAAACCAGAGGGGCAAGAGAGGAATGGGGAGAACATCAGAGGGGAAAGGCACGCAGCATGGGCTGGAAAACGAGCAGAGCTTGAGATGTCCTTCACACAGCTGACAGCAGGGAATGCCAGGCAATTCCCTCCAGCCACTATCACCCTTGTGCTCATGTCCCCAGCATGGCATGGAGCGGGTGCAGTCACACAGGCAGGAGCCAAAGCTGTGCTGTGCCCACCAGCCCTCCCTGGTGTGGGCTCACAGCCCGGAGCTGTGCCGTGCCCACCAGCCCTCCCTCCCCGTGGGCTTCACAGTCCCGGAGGCTGGAGCGCTCCCGCCGCGCTCGTTCGGAGCTGACTCAGTGGAGAAATGTCACCGCTGAGTCACCGACGTGCCGTAGGTGTTGCTGGAGCCCGGCCCGGCTCCATCCCTGCCAGCTGGCAGGTGGTAATGCAGAAGGTGATATTCACGCCCACACCTCCCAGCGCCGAGGGGGCGGAGGGGTGGAAATCTCAGGGGAATAGAATAAAAAAAATAATAAAACAGGGAATGAGCTGCACACAGCGATTCCTGCCCACGCTGCAGCTCCCGGCGCACGGCTCGGCACAGCCCAGCATGCAGACCGCGACTCCGAGGAGCTCCAGGCACCTGAGCGACTCCTTCCTCCCAGCCGCGGATCACCTCCTGCTTGCCCATCACGAACTTGAACGGCTTGTTCCTGTCGCGGGAGGAATCAAACTTCTTCCCATCCTCCAGCATACCTGGGGAGAGAGAGAGAGATGATGGTGACACAGGGACAGAGCCACGCATGCCAGCGTGACGCTGCTGTGACCTGTGACAGTCACCCCTGGGACAGCTCATGTGGCTCTGAGTCAAAGATGTGTCTCAGCTGAGCCTTCTTTTCCCTGGGAAACACCTGCATAAGGGTCCTGGAGGGGAAAGCCCCTGGGGCATCACCCAGCCTGGGGCATGGCAGGATGGCTCTTGGCTGTCTTGGCCCAAAGAGAAGTGGTCCTCTGGGCTGGGACCAAGGACTGATAAGGGGAGCCGATGAAGGGGGAGAAGAAAACCTTGCCCACCTCACAGCACCACTGCCAGCCATTTGTCAGGCAGCAGGATACGGCCTGGCACTTCCTATTGCACCGGCACACACCTCTCCTTGCCAGGCTTCCACCTTTAGTCATCCAAAACACTGATGATGCTCCAGTGCCCCATCTGGAGGCTTTGACTGGCCTCCAGCCCTCCCATGCCCAGCTGTGTCCTGCTGATCTGTGCCAAATCCCTCCCGGGCCCAGGAATGACAACGGGGAGAGGCAGCACCAAGTGCTGGATGCGTGCGCCTGGGGCAGCCCTCGTTCCCCAGCAAGGGCTGAACCAGGCTGATATCCCCAGAGCTAAATATAACTCCCCAACATGAGCTAAGGAGGAATTTCCTCCCCTCCCTTGCTCCCTGCCTGACCTTCTTGGGGAATCTTGGAGCTGGTGCTGCCTTATAGGAGCAGTAACTCCACTGGCCAGCTCCTATAAGGCAGCTCCAGCTCTGCATTAACACAGCCAGTGCCCTGTACAATAAACCCTGTATGATAAGAGTAATATTAAACTCTCTTCTAAATGCTTTTCACTTCTTCACTTCCTGAAACAGCCCAAAAAACCTGTTTTCCTGGCTGGAAACTGCTCTGTAGCCTTGAAAAACCAAACTTTCCCAGGAAGGCCTAGGGTAGAATGACTTCCCTTTGCCAGGGCACATGGGTAAGGGAAAATGTGTCTGTGAAAAAGATGGGATGGGGGATCTCGGCCCCTGCTTGCACTGTTACCAGAGCAAATGGCACGCAGGGAATGGCAGCCACAGAGATGGGAGATGCCGAATGGAAAGAAGAGAATGGGACAAAATACATCACCTTTGCAGGGACAAAAAGCACTGAAACCTCTGGGCTGCAGGAAGCTTTCTCTCAGGGAGTAGAATTAAGCTTTTAATTTCACAAAGAGCAAAAATCCCCTCTCCAAGATGTCAAGCGTCAGCTCAGCTGGTCACACTGTAGCCCTGGACTTTGGAACAGTAAGTCTGGAGTTCTCTCACTTCCTCCTTCCAGGATAAACCTCTTGCCGCTGAACCTGCTTCCAGCCCCGTCTGGCACTGCTCCCCGCTCCCGTCCGCTGGCCTTCCTCCCGCCCGGCGGGGCCGCTGGCAGCAGGGACACGGGGCAGGCCGTGCTGGCTGGCACCGGCAGCACTGCCTGGCTGCGCCCCAAGCTGACCCCGCCTCGGCTCTGAGCCCTCCGGCGCTGCAACAAGCTGGGGGGGCTGAGGAAGGATGGAGGGGGCAGGTCTCTGCCACCCCCCTCACTGGACACCCACCAAGGAAAACCCCAGGGGCCGTGCAGCACAATCCCCTGCTCGCCACAGCAAGCAGGGACCTCCGGGATTGCTCCTGGGGCGTCTGCTGCCTGCGGAAGCACATCCCGGTTGGTGTCCTGAGCAGGGCAACGTAGAGGCACCATCAGCGGCCCAGGAGATGCTGCCAACTTTGCACAGCAGTGGATGGCACTGCCCAACCTTGCCGCCAAGCTCACCTGTCCCAGTCCAGCCTCGGGAAGTGT